TGAACCAATTCCATGAGGTGTCAGAGGGAAGCGGCCAGGGCAGACGTGGGCAGATCCATGTCTGTGCAGATGAAGCTGGAACGTCAGGGCAGGCAGCAGGATCTGTGGGCAGGGACAGCATCGCACCAGTCCCCTCTGGACTCTGCAGAGCAGGAGGAAAAGGAGAGCACTCAGTCCATGGTACCTGTCTGTGACTGCTGAGGAGCCCTAAAGCAGCAGAGCTCAGTGTGGTGCCTTGCTCTGTTTGGGGTTTGCAGTGTGGTGCGTGTTCCGTGTTCCCCATGGGATGTCCCCAGGAGTGCTGTGTGTGCCCCTGGTGTGGGAGCAGGTCTCAGCCCAGCCCAGGCGAGGAGGGGGAGCTGGGCTGTGTCAGAACAAGCCTCGTTGATCAATCCCTCAGCAGAGAAGGGAGGCAGGAATTGCCATAACAACAGCGACGATCGTTTAATTTGATTTTCTGCCTGACTCCGACCGCGGGGTCTTGGGCGCTAATTCCTGCTCGGAGCTGGGGCTTCCAGGCACCGTGTCTGGCCGTGCCCCCTGTGAGCAGGTCCAAGGGTTAATTCCCATCCACAGCAGAAAAAAAAAGGGAAAAGATGCAGTGAATGTCTGCAGCTCCAGCTTCCAGCCTTGAGGCTGCCGTGCCCTTGTGAGGAGCTGCAGAGCTGCAGCCTCTCCTGCCCAGGGGTGTCTCCAGCTCCAGTCTGGCCATGGATCAGAGCCACTGTCTGTCCCTGTCCCTGCCACCCCCTAGACTGGGGCCAGCCTGCTCCACAGCAGGGACCGCTGGTCTGCTGAGCAGCCTGAGCCTGTGCATCCTTACCCAACTCCACGCTGCCCTCTCCCCCAGCCAGGAATTTCTCTCAAGCCCCTGGATTTGCAGCAACAGCACCCTGAGGTCCCTTCAGCAGCACAGGGGTCCCTGCCAGCCCAGCCCCACCACACCAAAGGCACTGAGCCATCCCTAAGGGCCAGTAAAAATCTGTCTCTACTGAGCTCCTCTCTGTGCTTGCCCTCCCCAGTGTGACCAGTACAAGAAAGGGATCATTTCTGGCTCCACATGCAAGGACCTGTGTGAGGAGCGCAGCCTCCTGTTCCAGCACTGCCTCTCGTCCTCCCCCAGCCAGCAGGTAAGTCTGTGCCCCCCACCCATGCCAGGGCTGGGCACCAGCACCAAACCCTGCACAACTCCCCCTCTGCCCATGCCAAACCAGAACCCAGCTCCCTCCACTGCTGTCCCTGTGCTCCAGGTTTACAGAGGGCTCTGGAGGGACAGGGAGGTGATCATCAAATGTGGCATCGGGGAAGCCCTGAGGGCCGACAGCCGCCCGGACTCTGTGCCCAGGAGGGACGTGGTGCTCTTCGACAAACCCACCCGGGGAACCTCCATGGATGAGTTCAAGGAAATGCTCCTCAACTTCCTGAAGGTCAGTGCAGGGCCCTGTGGGATCCCACAGCCCTGGGATGGCTCCTGTGAGTCAGAAACACCAACTGGGGTTTTCCTTCCCTTTGAACGAGAGCTCCTCCTGCCCATGCCCCCCACCCACTGCTGGGTGCCAGTGCCATGCACTAATTAGTGGAGGAAATGAGTTCTTACCCGTGAGATTTCAGTAGCAGCATCCCTGGAGGTGGCTGTGCCATGGCTGTGGGTGGCATCTCTGCTAGGCAGAGCTGATTTGGTGGCCCTGGTAGTTACCCCTGTTGGGGCTTCTGCAGCAGTGGTGGGGTAGCAGCTCTGGCAGGATGCTTTAGAGCAGCCCTGAGGCTGGCAAAATTCTGCTGGAGCTGGATCTGCCCTCACATGGTGTGGCACTGGATTTTCTAGAGGGTCACCATTTCTTCCTCTTCCCAGCTCAGTTCTTTGTGCCCCCAGTTCGGTTTTGTGATGTGACACCCAAACACGGAGAGCTGTGAGTGTCTGATGCCACTTCTTGTGCTGTTTGCAGTCCAAGCTGGGGGATCAGCCATCTCTTCCTGCCTTGGTGAGCCGGATCATCGCCATGGCAGACGTGAACCGTGATGGGAAGGTGTCCCTGGCAGAGGCCAAATCCATCTGGGCGCTGCTTCAGCTCAACGAGTTCCTCCTCATGTTCTCCTTGCACGAGAAGGAGCACACGGCCAAGCTGCTGGGGCACTGCGGGGACCTTTATGTCACCGAGAAGATCCCCCACACCTCCCTCTACGGGGTGGATGTCCCCCCTTTCCTGCAGTCCCTGCTGCCTTCCCTTGCCCACCAGCTCATCCACCAGTGGTTCGCGCCGGCCTGGCCCCGGCGCGCCAAGATCGCCATCGGCCTCCTGGAGTTCGTGGAGGAAATCTTCCACGGGACCTACGGGAACTTCTACATCTGCGAGAGCAGCCTCAGGAACGTGGGCTACAACGACAAGTACGACTTCAAAATGGTCAACCTGCGCAAGGTGGCGACGGAGATGACAATCAGAGGCTTCCTCAAGGGCCGGCACTGTGAGCAGAACGGGGACTGCACCTACGGGCGGGACTGCACGGCCACGTGTGACAAGCTCCTGAAGCAGTGCAAGAGTGACGTGGTGCAGCCCAACCTGGCCAAGGTGTGCGGGCTGCTGCAGGACTATCTGCTCTACGGAGCTCCCCTGGAGCTGAAGGAAGAGCTGCAGAAACAGCTGCGAACTTGCATGACCCTCAGTGGCCTGGCCAGCCAGATGGAAGTGCACCACTCCCTCGTGCTCAACAACCTCAAGACCTTGCTCTGGAAGAAGATTTCCAACACCAAATATTCCTAACGGGGGAAGCACGGCCCTGGAGTTTCCAATCTATGAGCTTGGAGTGAGGTCCAAGGGCTGAAGGCCTGTTTCTCCATCCTCTCCCCCCCCAGGAAAAACACACCCTGCACAGGGAGTTCGGCAGAGCTGCAGCCCCTTCTCCTTCATGGAAAACCAAGCATCATGTCTTGCACCACCCAGCAGGATCAGGGATGGCTCGGCAGGAGCGGAGCTGGGACACGGAGCTGGGCTGAGCAGGCTTTGGGGGAGGAAGAAGACATGGAAAGGAAGCAGAGCCCAGCTGGATGCATCAAACTGTTCCTTGATGAGCAGGAAAGCAGAGCAAAGCGATGGGAATGAATCATTCATGCTGTACTTGTCACATCTCCTTTTGAGGAACGGCTCTGATGTAAATAAACAGCTTTACGTGAATCACACCCGTCCATCAATAGCCAAACAGCAGCCTGTTAAGTACCAGCTTGTTTGTGATCTAAAAAGGAGGAAAAGGTAGATTTCCCCTTTCAAAAGTCTCTCCTTAAGTGTCTGAGTCATCTGCCGTCAGCTCCAGCTGTCACACAGGAAGCAGATCAGCTGTCTGTTGCACCGTGGAGAATCGTGGCGGTTCTCTGGTTCCGTTTTTAAGTGCCTGACCCTGCCGGTGATGCCGTGAATTGTGAGAGGCTCCCCCCAGCTGCTCCTGCCCCAGTCTGGAATTGGCAGCACAAGCCATTCCCTCACGTGTCCGCTCTGGAAGCGGCCGAGGCCAAGGATGGCTTAAAGGCAAAGGGCTAAACACGAACTGACCCCTTCCTGTGCTCGGGTGTCACTGCCCACCACACTCAGAGCAGGGATAAGCCAACCCCTCCGTTTAATTCTCCAAAAACTAAGCTGGGCTTGCCCTGCAGAGGTTGAAGGTTAATACCAGAATAATCCAGTGCTTCTCTCATTATTAAAATGAATTTCCAGGCAAAGCTTTTAGCAGGTCTCCAGACATTTTTTTTTTTTGGCTGTGTCTGTGCTCCCAGGGCTCCAACTACAGTTGTTTCCTTGAAATGCTCAATTATAGCAATCTTCCAGCTCTGGGCAGGGAGGAAGAGCTGGGTAAACTCCCCCAAGGTTGCTCTGTTCCCAGCACAGCCATATTCCTGCTGCTGGAGCACGTGCTGCTTCTCCTGCCAACAATTCCTTAGGGAAATGAGCGTGCAGCTGATGTGCAATCAGAAAATAAAAATACACCTGACACTGCGGCACCAGGGCTGCAAATTTAGGAGCCCTTTGGGGAGAAAGATCAGGATTTCCCTTCTGTTGGTTCTTTAGGATCCTCATCACCTCTCACAGGGCACTTTTTGGTGTCAGGAGTGCCCCGTGTCCAGCAGAGCCACCAGAGCTCGCTCCCTGCTGAGGAGTGGCCTGTGAAATGTGATTTATCCATGGAAAAGCTGAGCACTCCCAGGGATTGTGTTTGAAGGGTTCCTCAGCCTGGATTGGGTGTGGGCTCTGCCAAGGTCCCGTGTGCAGGTGCAGGTTCAGCTGCAAGGAGGGAAAGGCAGGGCTGGAATTCACTGGAATTCAGTAGGGAGGCTCCAGGCTCCTCTTCCCTTGTCCTGCATCCCCATGGCAACAGCTCCCCTGACAAATCCATCTCCTCCTGCCATCAGCAAAGGAATCCCAGCCCCTGCCAAACTCCCCTCCTCAGGGTGGCAGAAAAAGCATTTTTCTTCCTTTCCCTCCATTGTTTACTCCCACTAAATCCCTGCTGTTCCCTCAAAGCAGTATTAAAGCACCTGGAGAAGTGGAGGAAAACAGTTTCCCCAACATCAGAACATGAACATCTAAATGTTTATGTAGCTGAGACCAGGCCCTGACAGTTTAATTGAAATTAAGTCACTTGTGACAACAATTGCTCCATTAAAGCACGCCCCCGTGGCCCTGGACACTCCCAGGAATTCTGCTCATCACTAATAAAAAGCAGAGTGCAGCTTACAAACCACTCCCAGATACAGGAGAGAAATGAGTGAAGGCAAAGCTGTTTTACACTCAAATTCCTCCAGATTCCCCACAGGAGATGGAAAAAAAGCCAGGACACTCCAAGACTGACACATGATCTCACTGGATCCCCTTTGTGCCCAAGGGCATGGAGGTAAAACCTTAAATTACTTTAAAACAATCCTAAATTCTCATATCCACAAAGTCTTACATCCTAGAATGGTTAAAAAATAGCATTACTTGGGGTGCTACAAACACACAGCATAATCCTTGCAGTCTTGTAGGTGGCATCTTTATTTAGGTTTTTGGTTTTTTTTTTATTTAAATCCTTCTTAACCATGTAGAGAAAACACAGATGATCAAGTTTTAGGAATCTCCAAGCCATCAGACGTGGATGCTGCCAACCAGTTCTCAGTTTGTCAGACATTCTGCAGCTCAAGGCATAATCTGCAAATAAAAAAACAAGGCCCAGGATGTCAGAAAAGTTGAAAAACAGGCAAGAAAAGGGAGCAATAAGGTGAATACTAATGAGCTAATTAACCCTTGTGTTCCAGACTCTGCTGCCCTCATTGTCTTGGGATTGTCCCAACATTTTTCACATCCCAGAGGAAATGAAGATGAAATATAAAATGAAATCACATTTTAAGGTTCTGTTAGCAGGGTTCACAAGGAAACTTTTAGACAGGGATTTCCTTCAGTCTAGAAGGACATGGCACAAATTTAGGAGAAGTTCTTTGGCATGACATCAGAAAGGTTTTGGAAAAAGATCTGGCTGGGGGAGTTTAGGAAAGGGATAATTTAAGAGCAGGATAGCTGGAGCCTGCTCTGGGTTATTCCATCACTCCTTAAAAATCCAAGGTGAGTTTGCCAACCTTGGTGCAGAGCCAAGCTATTAATAGTGCAGGGAAAAAAAAATCTGGGCTTATTCCAGCCTTTAAAGCAATGACATAAACCAGTCCTTGATGATGAAGGGCTGAGCTATGTGCAGAGAGTTTTTAATTTCTCTCTAAACCACTTCATGTGAAACATTCACATTTTCCACAGCTGAGAGGCAGTTTTTCCTTCAGTAAAGCAATATCCATGGCCCAGCAGTGCTGCTTGGGGAAGGGCAGTTCCAGTAAATGCCATGAGGAAAATGTCCATGGTTCTGCTGTGCCTCACACAGGGAAGTTCTAAAGACACTCATTAGCACTCAGTGCCCACACAGGACCCCTGGAGTGAGGAAAGCCTGATGAAAAACCCCAAACAGATTGCAGATTAAAAGAAGTCAAGAAATTTCAATAAAAGAGCCACATCCTCATACATAACCACAACCCCACAACCTTATTAACATTCTTTTCCAAAGCCAGTGGCTTTTGCCAATTAAAGGGCTCACTTTGCACCACTGAGGCCCCTTTGGCCCTGTAATGGCCATTTAATGAGGTTTCCCATTTAGCAGTGCCAGTTACTCACTGCAAAGCTCAGGGTCACAATCTCTGCGTGCCCAGAGCTGCTCTCGCTGTTTCTGGTGTCCCTCAAGAAGGGACAGTGACACACAGCACCATTTGGATATGGGGACACCTGTGCACAGGGCTTGGAGCAACCTGGCACAGCAAAAGGTGTCCCTGATGGAGGGAAGGAGTGAAGGACAGTGTCCATCCTCCTCCATTCCCCCTGAAGGCATTCCCTTCCCTCCACTGAAGGCAAGAGAGCAGGAAAAGAACACAAGTGTCAGGTTGTTGAGCAATCCTGAGAGCTCACAGGGCTCAGAGCACCAGGGAAGACATCGCCTGTTGCTGTCTGCCACCGAATGACACAGAGGTGGCACTGCAGCCACGCCTGCAACACGAGCTGGGGCAGGGCTGCCAGATCCCAGCACTGCAGCTCACCTGCAACACGAGCTGGCAGCTCCCAGCACTGCAGCTCACCTGCAAAAGGAGCTGGGGCAGGGCTGCCAGCACTGCAGCTCACCTGCAACAGGAGCTGGCAGCTCCCAGCACTGCAGCTCACCTGCAAAAGGAGCTGGGGCAGGGCTGCCAGCACTGCAGCTCACCTGCAACAGGAGCTGGCAGCTCCCAGCACTGCAGCTCACCTGGGCAGGGCTCCTCTGGTGTGCCTGGGCTCAGGGCTGCCTCTGGAAAAGGGACAAACACATGGAGAGCCTTTAGACACAGCCCAAAGCCTGGTTACACTGCAGGTGCTGCAGGGATGTAAAAGGAGGAAGTTAACAGCAAAGGAATGTTTTTATTTTAGGATGGGATGAACTCCCAGCGTTGCCACGTGGTTTCACAGATCACTTCCACTTACTCCTCTGTAACACAAGTGGCACCCACAGGACCAGAGAGCCACGTGCAGCTGCAGAGAACAGAAGCTCCCATCCTGGATCAGGCAGATCTCCCATTCCAAGCAGCTCGGAGCTGGTTTTCCCCTGTCTCATTCAGGGTAATTAAGGATGTCAGGCTATCAATCACTCTGAGTGCTCACGGGGTGCAGAACACACGAGCGTAGAACATAGCCTGGGTCTCTCTTGCCACTCTTTGACACAAAAGATGCCACAGCAGCCATCTCTGCAACGCCAGTGGCAGCCTGGGGGGAACAAATAACCTCAAAAGACCGAAAAAATGTAATTATGGGTGGATGTCCATCCCTGGAATGTTCAAGGCCAGGCTGGATGCAGCTCTGAGCAGCCTGGGAGCATGGAAGGAGTCCCTTCCAATCCAAACCATTCCCCGATTCTGTTACATTTAAAAGAAGACTTAATCACCTAATTGAAAGCAGTGCTGCCAAGGTATTTGCTGCACGTGCAGACAGCACAGGTAACACTGCACTTACACTGAGCAAGGTGGCTGAAGCTTGCTTGGGCAGCCCTTTCCTGCAGGATCACCCTTCATTCCTGAAGTCACACCATCCTGGTCACTTCATTGTTTTGTCCACTGCCAGGCTGAAGAAAGAAAAAAAGAAAAATACTGTTAATAATTGCCTAAGCACTACTGTTTTTTTAAAACATGCCATTGAACTGAGAACCAGAGAATTACAACAGTTACAAGAAGGACATCTACTGAAGTCATGTTAGCTACTGAAATATTTGAAAATATTTTCCTGAAAGCCCCAAATTTTCTTCCCTTCTTCAGTGGGGTTTATTAAAATACACACAACTGTGTATGCTTTATATTACAGATATATATATATATGTAAATAGCCCTTAAAATAATATTCGGTTCACAATATAGGGACATATTATTAATATAAAATTAATATATTAATTACATATTTGAAGGCCAGAGATAGATAAATAGATAGATAGATAGATTTGGCTTCCAGCGCCAAATATCCCACGATCTGCGGGCTTTGCAGCGCACGTGGCAGCTCCCGGAGCCCCCCGAGCCCCGGGGCCGCTCGGGGCCGGGCCTGGCCTCGGGGCCGCGGGGGAAGGGCCGCTCCCCAGCCTCACCTCGCTCGTGTCCTCCCGCCGCAGCCGCTCGGGGCCGGGGCCGGCGGGAAGCGGCACCGGCCCTGAGGGAGCCGCGCCACAACATGGCGGGGGAAGGCGCAGCGGTGGAGCCGCCTCCACCTGCACCGGCTTCCTGCGCCTGAGGGACGCAGGGCGTCCCGCTGGCCCCGCCGGGAGAGGCCGAGGCCGGTTCAGGATCCAGTCCCGGTCCCTCAGAGGCACAACGGAACCTCCGCTCCCGCTGCCCCGCGCCCGCAGAAAGGGCGATGGCCGCCTCACCTCCCCCTTATATAGTGAGGGGAACGGGCGCGCGTGCGCGCTCGCTCTTCCGTCCGAGAGCGCTCCCTACCGGGCGGGAGGACCCAAAGCTGGGAGAGGGCGAGGGTGGAACCGCGGCCGGGGACACGGGACGGGACACGGGATTGGGACACGGGATTGGGACACGGGATGGGACACCGGATTGGGACACGGGAGGGGACACGGGACTGGGACACGGGATTGGGATACGGGATGGGACACGGGACTGGGACACGGGACTGGGACACGGAGCCCTGTCCAGGACTGCTCCAGTGCCCCCCATGGAGACACGAGGCTACTGTGGGATGGATATTCCTTTTGTCAGCTGCTCCTGGAGTCCCCCACCGCCCGTGGTGGCAAAGGTTGGGCTCCCAGTGTGTCCCAGGACAAAGTGGGGACTCTCTGACCCCCCCTGGGGACCCTCTCACCCTGCATCAGCCACGCTGAAATATCCCCAGCTTGGGGACATCCCTTCCCTCCCACTGCCTTGATTGCCCTGGCCAGCCTCCCCATCCCATTCCACTAGGGAAAAACACAAAAACGAACACAGAGATAAATCCCTTTATTTGCTAAGAACAGACACAAGATACAAGTGGTTTCAGGTGAGATCATGAGCCCAGCAAAGCCACAGGACAGCTGCACCTCCCTGCAACAGTGACAAACTCAAGGACAGGAGCCCGGCTCCATTTTCCCTTGCATTGCTCTGTACGATTTTTTGCAGCCAGAGACCCTCTGTGGCTGTGACCTCTGTGGGATCACCCTGCACAGGACTGGGGGTCCCTTCCCAGCCAGCCAGCCGTGCCAAGAGCCGGTGCTGGATGCAGAGCCAGCCCGTGCAGGCGGAGCAGAGGCACCGAGCCCTCCCCTGGGGCTCTACTTGCCCTCGGCTTTGCTCCGCAGCTCCTCGACGGCCTCGCTGTGCCGCCTCTTGTCCTTGGCACGGATGATGGTCATCCTGAAGAGCCTGCAGTAGAGCTCCACGGCCGCGGGGCTGTCGTCATTGCCGGGGATGGGGTAGGTGATCAAACACGGGTTGCAGTTCGTGTCCACCACCCCAACCGTGGGGATGTTCATCTTGGCCGCGTCGCGGATGGCCACGTGCGGCTCGAAGACGTTGTTGAGGGTGCTGAGGAAGACGAGGAGGTCGGGCAGGCGGACGCCGGGGCCGAACTGGACGTGGGCGTTGGTGAGGAGCCCGCCCTGCCAGTAGCGGGTGTGCGCGTACTCCCCGCACGCCCGCGCCGTGCTCTCGACCAGGTGGCAGAACTGGCGCCGGCGGCTGACGAACAGGATGATGCCCCCGCGGTAGGCGACGTGCGCCGTGAAGTTGAGGGCCAGCTGCAGGTGCTGCATGGTCTGATCCAGGTCGATGATGTCCTGATCCAGGCGGCAGCCGAAGATGTAGGGCTCCATGAACCTGCGGGGACAGCGGGAGGGTGGCACGGGGGGGGACACGGGGATGGGGTGGGCAGGCATCGAGCGTTTCTGGATGTGGGCCCCACAGGAACCATCCCACGCTCCTGCTCCTGGCTGTGTACCCAGTGTCTGTCCCACTGCCACACCCTCCCAGCGCCCACTTTTTGGGGATCCCTACTCCAGGCTCAGACCAATCCAGCGGATGTGGTCTGGCAAAGCATTCCCGATGTCAACAAGCACTGGGTCACGAAAAGCATCACTCACCTGTGCCGACATCCCTTTTTGTGGCCCAGGTGCACCCGAGCATCAAAGAGATCTTTCAGGGTGAAGAGCTCCTTCACGCTGAAGAAGTCGGGGTGGTTGAGAGGCTCTGTCAGCAGCTTGTCATCGTCAGCTGAGAGAGGGGAAACAAATACTCACTGCGTTTGGGAGGACGAGCCGGGGCTGCAGAGAGGATGCCCCGTGCCCGGCTGCTGCGGTGGCATCGCTCAGGGGCCGGGGTGCCAGGGGTGCCCGGCAGCACTCACCGCGGGGCCGGCTGCCTGCCGGGGCCGGGACCGGGACCGGGACGGTGCTGTAGAGCCGCGGGGCTGCTGCGGGACAGAAACACCGTGGGTCACACGGGGCTGGCCGGGGCGCTCCGGGCAGCACCGGGCCGGGCCCCGCCGCTCACCTGCCCGCAGGAGCCGCGGCAGCGCCATGCTCCGAGCCCGCCGCAGGGCACGGAGACGGAGGAGGAGGAGGAGGAGGAGAGGGGGGAAGGTCAGCGGCGCTTTCCGCTTCCTGCGGGCGAGGCGGGGCGGGGCGGGGCGGGCGCGCCCTCGGGGCGGTTGCGGTCGCTCCCCGCCCTCCGCGTTCGGTCGCCGGGTAACGCTCGGTCCCCGCGGCCCGGCCCGGCCCTGCCCGGCGCGGCGGCTCCGCCATGGCCCAGCCCAGCCCGGGCGTGCCCCGGCGCTTCGAGGAGCTCACCTTGTACCGCGGCTACGGGTGAGCGGCGGCCCGGGCGCGGCCCCGCTGCCCGCTGCCCGCTCTAGCTGTGCTCTCCCCCCGCAGGCAGCCGCCGGCTCACCCCCGCTTCCGGACCGTCAACCAGACCTACGGCAGCAGGGCCCCCACGGTGCACGAGCTGCCGGTACGAGCACCCCGGGCGGACGGGGACACTGCCCAAAGCCGCGTCCGTGCCGCTGCACGCAGGTGTTGTCGATGCTGGCGTTTAAAACATCCCTAACCCCCCCCTCCCCTCCTCACCGTACCCTTTGTCGCCCCCGCAGAGCTCCTTCCACACCCTCCCGCACAAGTTTTCGGATCATCTGGGCAGGTTTGGCATGTGCAGGAACGAAAGCCTGAACACGTCGCTGGAGAAGAGCCACTGCACCGGCCCCGACACCTTCATCACCGCCTACGAGCACCTGGACTTCCACCCCAGCTACAACCCCAGCGGCCCCTCGCACTGCAGGGACCAGCCGCTGTAGCAGCTTTTGTCTGCCTCGATCCTAAACGGACCCGCTAGATTGCAGAGGGAATCTTTTTAGGAGTAATATAGTGAAGATTTAATGTGGTTAAATGTCAGTTAGGTAGCTCATGTGAAGCGTTTTACCTAATTTTATCAACAGCATATAAATACTAGGTCAACATAAATTCTGTTTTTATCCCCTTATCCCCTTCTCTGTCACTAATGATCCTTTACACTCTTGCCTTATGTACTACTTATCATTAAAAATTAAGATCTCAACTGCTTCTCTACTATTTAATGAATAATCAATCTGCAGGTTTTCCAGAGGTATTCATTAACTCTTTGGATTTCTTGCGGAAAGTTGTTTCTTCTCTCTCCAAACTACAAAGTTTTAAGAAATTATTCAAATAATGACAAGTAATCAAAAAGAATTTTTTTTAAAGTTTTATTGGAACAACTGTAGGTACAGGCAAAGAAACTGCATCAGTTGGACAGTGACTGCACTGAAAAAACACCTGAACATTTTTGGCTTAAAAATGAATTTTTAAGAGAAACTACTCCGCCTGTTTATGGATGAAAACCAGTCCCACCTTACAGGTGTAACAGAACATAAAATGAGCATAATATTATTCAAAATATTTGCTAAAAAATATAAATAATTAGTGTAACATGTCCAAACACCACTGCAATTGACACTCTTCACATGTCAGAAACATTCCCTGTTTGTGGCATGTGGTAAGAGCTGGGTAGATCTCCCTCTGCTCCAAACACACAAAAAAACCCAAAAATTGGAACAGGTAAATAAACTGAGCAGAAATGGGCCTGAAAAGTTAACATTTCAAAGTTTTAACATCTGAAAATAAATAAGCAACCCTCTTCCATTTGCTGTGATCCTGGTATCAGACTCTAGACAATACCTGGAGCTTCTTTAGAGCTTCCCTTTCTTCTCCTGAAATGAGACAATAACAAAGTGCTGCATCAATAGAAATAGTTGTGACAATGTTACATATATTTTTATCCACAGATTTTTCTGCAGGTGGCATAATTTAAGGATGAGGCTGCCTCTTAAAAATATTAACAGAGTGGATTCTGTCACATATTTTCCCACTCCATCTGAAAACACCCACGTCGTCTTTCTTGCCTCAATTTCTTCCCTTTTAATTTTATTCTTGAAACCAGTTCCTTTGAAGAGTTTGGCATGCAGTGTATCTAAGTGTTCAGAGGTTAGACCAAATGCACTTTTTAAAAAAGAAATGCCTGTACAAATTCAAAATATCATTCTAAAAATGTCTCTACCTGAATCAATCTCTTTCTGCTCTATCTTTTGAAAGGAAGATTTTCACATTTGCAGATAGAATTATGTGAGGCTGAACTATCACCAGCTGAAGGGATGAACAATTTAAAAGCTTCTACATTAATAAAAGAAATTTTATTTCTTTTATTAATGTAGAAGGGATCTTCCTGCCTTGTATAAAGAGCAGCTACATGTCAAAACACGTGTTCCTAAAATAGCAGCAAAGACCTGGGAATAAAAATATTAAGGGAGTCCTTGCTGTCCCTTGAGGATCCTTGAAGATTGTTCCCAAAGCACCCAAAACCAGTCACTGGGGTAAAAAATGAAGCAGTAATTTTGCAGCCAGGATCTGTAACTCACCAGAGCCATAATAAAAAACACCAAGTGGTTTAAGCACTTAGTATCTAAATTAACAAAAGCTTTGTGCTCTGACTGGAAAGAAAAATTAGAATTGTGCATTTTTTTAAAATATGGACCAGCACTCATTAAAAAAAGGTAACTTAATAAGCTTTAGAAGAGCTGGGTTTATGGCTCCATGTATCTACTGCAATAATTATAATTAATTGGTGTCTCAGCAGGGTGGGAGTAATGGAAAAAAAGGGGTTTTCTGGACACTCCCCAGAGCTGGCACTGGAGTAGCAGGGCTGTGCAGTCTGGGCCCGCTCTGTGCCCTCCCTGGGGCTCTCATGGGCACGATGAACAGGAAATAAAATCTGCTTTTGGAATTGCTTTTATGAAGATTCAGCCTTGAGAGATTCGGGCTGCAGTCCCAACCTTGGTACCACGTGTGGGAATTTATTGCCGCTCAAGATAATCTGTTTTATTGCTCAGCTTTAGTGATGTGTAAGAGGGATTTCTTATTGCTGCAAACCACCAGACTTCTCTTTTCTGAACAAGTGATGAGAACTGGGCCAAGGTGAGGACGCTGCCACCGGAGCCTGGCTGTTCAATCCCAGAGATGCTCCTTGACATTTAATTACACAAGCAAAGATTCCACCTCTCGACCACAAACACCAGGAAAGAAAACTCTTGGTGTTCTGCACCATTCTCACCTCCCAAAAGCCACCCCTTTGTATTTTGTAAATTCTCCTCCTTCATTTTTTGTTACAAAGAATTAATGACATCCTCAGTCAGGAGGGAAGAAGAGGAAACACAGAAATTATTACTCACTCAAGATGATGACGCAAACCATAGGAACACTCCAGTTGCACGGTCCATGGGCAGAACCCCATTTATTAAACATTAGAAACTCAGCAATGTACACCAGTTCCTATATACAAATCAAGTTTAATTAAAATAAAAAAAAGTGCTGTTTGAAATAAGGTTTTATTTAAAGCACAAGGTAACTGGAATTGCATTTTAACTGGGAGTGGATCAGGTACTGAGGACACAGACACAGCAACAGGGGCACGAGACACCTTTGAAGTCTTAATGTGGATTTACTGAAAACTTTTGAGAAGAAACATTCAGCTTTTTATACAAACAGTACAGAGTGCTTCCAACATCTCTAGGAAAATTAAGTATACAGTTTAATCCTTTTAAAGCAAGGTACTTGGAAAACTTCTAGTTTAAAATACCAGCCTATTGACCTATTCCAAACAAAAGGCTCAAATCCTGCAAACGGAATCAAGGCAGAGCAAAAGATAAACCTGTGAAGAGGGAGTGCAGGCACTGAGCTAAGGAAAAACCACTTTTCCAAGGTATCCTACCACAAAATGGAGATGAGTTAACACACTGACCTTTAAACAACCTGGCCAACCAACCCCAGGGCTACAGAAAGGTGGCTGGACAGTCAGAAATGCCAAGTGAGCACTAGGAACATGTTTCAAACGTAGCTGCACGACAGCATGAACACACCAAGGATGTTTATTTCTCTACATGCCACAGTCACTACTCTATGCTACACCGTATTTTGCCCACGTTCTGCATCACACCAGGGACACCACGGGATTCTGGATCCAGTCTTGGCTGCTTTTGCTCCGTTTTGCAAGTTTAAGGCCAGCCTGGAGGAAGACTCCTGAAGTGACTGAGAAACAAAGTGATGCTAAGTGGTGGTTTGGCTGAGAAGTTCTGCAGAAGAGCAGACAAAGAGAATATCAGATCAATTCACAGGGACAAGATGTGAGAACAAACTCCTCCAAGGACTTCACAACACAAAAATGAAAATGAAAGAGCCAACAGCTCCAATTTACACCTTTTGAATTTGCAGCGAAACCAGTGTGGGGGCACTTTTTTGCGTGTGTGATGTGAATGTGCTACTTCAATCCCGTTGAAAGTCAGTACAAATAAAAAGATAGTAGTGAAAAAATTGCTTTATTCTGGCTGCTGGAAACGGAGGCAGAGAAAGAGCCTGAAGAAAGAACAGTGCTGAAAATATCCGTGGCTGAAAAAATCCGTTTGTGTTGTGACTTCCCACAGCAAACCCAGCTTTGCTTTATTGCACCAAAATTGTCAGTGAAAAGTTCACAGAAATGTAACATTTTAAAAATCGCTTCTGAAAAAGGAAAGTTAAGGGCACTCAGTTCCAGAAAGTTCATTCAGGAATCCAAAAGCCATCACTAGGTAACTGCAGGGCATCAAAAGGAGAGATCTGAGAATAACAGGAATTGTTTGAGCCCTGCAGGCCCGACGGTACAGAAATCCAGGGAAATCCAGGGAAATCATGTCTGAATAGACACACTCCTTCACTTGTCTTGGACTGCAAGCGTGCTTGGAATCATCTGCTAGCAGGAGGTTCTGGGCATGTGAAAGGACTTTGAGCAGCTGCTGAGATCCCTTTGCACAGGAGGTGCAGACAGAGCCATCCACTTGATTTACCTGAATTTGCATTTGTATCTTCCAGGCTGGATCTCCACACCCACAGCTGAGTTCTGCTCAGGGACCTCATCCCACAGTCCTCAGGGTGGGAAAACTGAGCTCCAGCAGAACTCACCCCACAGGGTTGTCCTGAGCTGGGATGTGGCCAGTGTCACATCTGCATTGCTATCCAAGGCTGTGCTTTCCTAGGATCTCTGAACAGGCTCCCAAATAAATTCTGTGCGCAAACAGGTTTCCCTTTGAGAGACAATTAGAGGCCTCATAATTTAAAGTGTGATTAGCCAATATCTTATCTACAGTAACTACAGCATCCTGTAGGAATGCAAGCCCTAGAAATCATTATAAAAAATATTTCCTTAGAGCACTTTAAATAATTTACAAAATTCTACAAAAGCTACGAATGTCTATATGTGATATCCCTGTTAAATAGAATTATTTTCACATTAGTGTGTGTATGATATACAGGTATCAGCATCTTCCACTGCCTCTCCTTTCCTCTCTCAAGCTCTATCAAGGTAATTACAATCACAGTTATTTTATAAAAAGACTGCTAGTGTTAAAAAAAAAAAAAAAAAAAAAGTACTTACATATTTGAAATCTTTTTTTCCAAGAGGGAACCTGGGCAGTCCCCTGCAGGTAGGTCAGTAAATTTTGCACAGGTTTTGGTTAAAAATTCCTGTCCTTGGTGCACTTCACTAGCAGCTTCCCTGTTCTGCAGGACAGGTGTTTTTCCTTCCATTTTGGGGCTGGATACCTGAATTTTTCCCTGCCTGTCAACTTTTTCTTCCTTAATGCACATCTGCACACTGTTATCTGCACAGGCTCCTCCACTATCATGCACTGCTGCTGCTGTCACATTGAATTCCTGCCTTGGGCAAGCTAAACTTGGATCTGGCCTCTTGTCCAGCTGGTTGTTCCCTCCCTTACTGTCCACCTGAGCACTCTGCTGAGCTGGCTCTCTGCTGACTTTATCTGCTTTTCCCACACTGCTCTCAGGGTGTGGGGGATATGCAGTGGAGTCAGCCCAGCTGCCTTGGTGGATATCTCCTTCTTTGATCCACATCTGGGTGTTCTCTGGAGCTCTGGAGGTTCCTCTGCAAACCTTATCAGCTTTTCCTGCTGCCAGACTCCATTCCTGTGAGGGAAGGCTGGAGTGGGACTGACCCCC